GTATATATATATATATATATATATATACACCATCATTTGTAGCTCAGTGTGTGAATTTGATAAAAAAACTTTTGATACTTATTGTTTTTATGTAAGTAGCTGTGATTGGTGTATTTCCAATGTTTTTATTTTATGTAGCAAAGCTGCAAGTAAAACTTAATTCTTCTGGTTGCTGCTCACTAATGGTACATATACATTCAAATCACAACTTTCCCACATGAAAAGTATTATCCATCCTCAAAACTCATAAGATGATGACAGCAATCAAACAGTAGAACACTAATAAATCAGTAAGAAATCATTAAGTAGTAATATATTCATAAAAGAACTAAGTAATCATATAAGTTACTAATGTTTAGATTCCAATCATCACAACCTTACCACAAATACAAAATTCAAAAACGATGTTATATCCTAAATTTCATCAAAGATACTGGATGGTTATTAATTTGGGATGTAGTAAATAGTAAAACACTGACTTAAATGTAACATAAATTGTAACAACTGTGTAATGTGTGTCTTGTATTATGATGTAGTATTCTCCTTTAAAATTCAGAATTTTGTTAAAATGTGAACATAAATATTAAATATAAACAATGTCTTATAAAGATTTGACGTCACCAAAATATAGAAAACCTGGTACTGACATAAAATATAATGGAATTATATTCCCCAGATATATTTATTTGGGCTGCTTGTACACACCTCTTATCACACAATTAGCTTGCAAACATAAACAGCTTATAACTTAACTGATAGGTTGAAGTCCTCACAACTCACTACTCATTGGTTTGTGTGGTAAGGAAGATAACTAATATGACCAGACCACTTCAAGTTCTCTTAAAGCTTCTTCAAGATCTCCTCCACAATCTTGATTGCAGAATCAACACAACCATCAAAATTTGAGTGGGTGAAGCTATCACCTCCTAATGCCAGTAATGGGCTTTCTTGAAGAGTTACACACCCAGGAGTATTTTCAAATGGACATTTCACCTAAGTGATGAACATAAGAGTAAATTATAAGATACAAATTTAAAAGAAGTTTTAATGGGTAAAGTTAAACTCATTATACCATCATTAAATTTTTTATTAAGCGACAGGTTCCAGATGACACACAGCAACAAACAGAAATAATTAAAAAAAAAGGGGGGAAAGAAACACTTATGGGTTTGATCATCTGCAATAATTATTAGATTATTAAAAAACTACTACCTTAACATTTTTTTAAAATACTCTAAGCTTCTGAAATACCATTTACCACATACTATAACTTCAGGACAACACCTTAATAATTGTTTTTAATACAGCATTCCAAACCCTTATAACATTCACCATATTTTTTAACATATATATTTTGTAAATATTTACAACACACTGGCACTCCTTAAAAAAAAAAGAATGTATAGCAAGTACCAGTACCATACTGAAGGTTCTCTGAGGTTGGTCCTTCTTTAAATTAGCCTTGTTTTATGGCCATAAACTGAGGATGGTTTAGTAGTCCTAATTTTAACCCTGTCAGCAAAAATATTCACCATCTAAATAAAAGCTTACAGAGAGTTTGAATTTAAACACAATCTCCAGACATTACCTGGGAATATCTCCAGCGCTGACATTTCATGCTTGATGGAGGAACAAAACCAGGCAATAATTCAGGAAGATGGTTTACAATAAGTCCTTGTACTTTGTCTTTGTCATCCTCTAAATACGACTGACCAAAGGTTACTGATGTGTGAACAACAACAGCTGGAAGCTGATCAACTGATCCTGTTTTTAAAAGACAGAAAATAACTCAGAAAAGTTATCCTGGAAAATAAAAATATATGTATCTTTAACTTGTCCTATCTTTGTTTGTTTCATAATACATCAACTGTATACAACTTTACGAACACAAATATTTAAAAAGCTGTGTTACAATTACAACAAAGAATTCCCACTTTTGTTTTGTTTTTAACAGTTAACTCTATTTTTCATAACTTAAACATCTTTTAACACTCGTGAAATTATAAAAATAGTATGATAATTTTGTTCATAAAATCTTTAGTTAAGTTGCCACCCCTATAATTACATAATTTACTACTGGAAATCTGTTGTAATAAGTCTTATCATATGGGTGGCAATATTGTTGAAATATTAATTAAGTCCAAGAAAGTGGATTTTACAATCTCTTCTTTAGAATAAAAAATTGTATAATTTTCAGAATATGTTTCGAAGAACAAAGAGTTGCTTTTTATTTATAAGTTCACACGTAACTATTGTGCCCAGGAATATGTGGGATCTGGCAACAGGGAGTTATCTGCTAATGAGAGAAGACATGTCAATATAAAACAGAATGGCCTGAAGAATGCTCAACACAACAAAACATGGCATAAATACCTTTCATCCCTTATCTAGTTCTGTAAAGGGAAAAACTAGCCTTTTACCTACAATATCTACTGCCAGACAATATCTTTAATGGATAACATTTTGTATCTACATGTACTTTTTCGCAGTCTTAATGGATAAACTTTTTTTAGAAGTTTTTACATTTTTAGAAGAATTGAAAACAGGTACTTACCTCTGAAATACTAAAAGACTTTCCTTGTTGAATTTGCTCTCATGCTGTCAACAATTACACGACTAGCTTCTGAATGTCTTTGACACAATTCAAAGTATGCATCAACTTAATCCAGAATTCTCCACTCTACATCCTCATCTGAACAGGCTGGTCAAGTCATGAAAATGGCCTAATTATTAGGCACCCAAGCAGACTCAAGGATGAGCTTCACTATTATAGGATAAGTGCAATGGAAGCACCAAGAAAAAAAAGAAAATATAAAAATAAAGCTGTAAGATGTTGCCCATCCTATTGGAGCCTTAAACCTCATATGGTGAACAGTTGTCTCATCTGAGATGTCTCAAATGCTATGCAAGGACATCCATAATGAGGCATCATCAGCCATAAAATATCATCCTCTGTTCACTTCCAGAGGGTATTACTCTCACATGAAGCACCAGCACAGAGGGTAGTATTTAATCTGGGACAAATACAGAGATATACATATCATGCAGGAAGTATATGTAACTGGACAAATTTATTAAAATACAGTACTTCGTAAAGGAAAGATTGTGTTTGTTTTAAATGATTCCTTTTACTCCATACACCCCAGTAATTGTTAAGGAAAGTTAGGTGGTATAACTATACTGTGTTATCATGTACAACATAAGTGTAGACCAAAGTGGTAACTACGTAGGTAATAGATGAGAATTCATCTGAAAGGGATTCCATTTGGCTTGAGGAATCACAACTTTAGGCAAACAAAATCCAAAAGCTGAGAAGAAAGCAATATGATGTAAATAAGATATTTCAAGAATGAATTCTGAATTATCCACACTCTGGTTTGCAGAATATAATTGCACAAGCTAATTTGTTAATATACTCCAAGCAAGATCCAAGGGGTGCAATTTGTCATACGAGCAACCACTTCTGAGAACCCCAGAAAGATTCAGTATGAGAGAGATAACAACAAATAGTCCTGACACAACATAAATGATATTCCTCCATACAAGAATCAGGATCAGTCAGAACAACCCAAGTATTAGATGGGAAAAAAGCTATCTGAGTATATGTATGAAGCTTTCCCAAGAAAATAATGTACATGAAACATCAAAAGCACAGATAACAAAATGTCCTCCTGCCTGATCAATGGAAATAAATAAAATGAAATAAAGGTTCAAAAGCGAAAGAAGCCTAGACACATAAGACTAAACCCAATTCCAATAAAGAACAATGCACAGGAACTTAAGGTCATTCAAAATGAAAGGCTCAGAAAAGTTCTTTCAACAATGGAGACTTTCAAAACAGATTGATGGTTTCCATGGCAGATAAGGCAACTGTTATCCAGCTATGGAAAGAGCTGATAGATGTTAACAAAGTTACATAGGGAAGACAGTAATATGAGGAGTTAGAGGTGAACAAGATTTACAATGCCTAATGCACCAACCCCAGAAAGTAACTCAACAACGTTAAATAGACAACCAAGGAAGAGTATTGCCAATGATGGGCTAACATACAAGCCAGCTGGGAAGAGAATCTGGCTTTTCTGACAATAGTCAAACAACAAACAGTCAAGAAACCAGATATGTTGAATGTAAAAGATGTTCCCCAAGGCAGTAATGAGACTGGTTCCCCCATGAGAAAACTAATTTAATTGGAGAAACCATGGTTGAGCTAGCCAAACTGGAGTGATGAAGAGAACCTGACACTTCAGGTTACTGAACCTTGCAAGTACTAAAAGAAGAAAGTATAGAGAGCAGACATAAAGGAAGAGGTTCTCCCAAAATTGACTCAGGGCAACCACTACAAGAAAATATGGATCTGGAAACTAGTAGTAGAAGATGGTTGTACAATGTAACAAAGGTATTGATTAAGAGATAACCAGCTACTTGCAGAGCCACTGTGAAAACCCGAGTGGAGGGTCCATTATATGGGGAGAAGATTGAAGATCTCAGGAGAAAGTGTCTGCCAAAATGTTCATCATATCAGAATGTGACAAGCTCAAAGGCTAAAGAATTAATGAAACTGTTTCAAAACAAAGGTTGCAAAAATAAGCTTACCCCAAAAAAATGACTTCATGAAATGAAGCATCATCCCCAAAGCAGGAAAAATGTCTTTGGCAGTAGGTGTGGACAACATAATATATGTATGAGACTAATACTTGCAATGCTATAGAAGATGACTAGTGTTTTTTGAACTGCGTTGATCCAAAATCCCAGATATACCAAAAAATCATTGGTACTAAATGGGATTTAAAATTGAGGATGATCCATCTTTTTCTTAAAATATGTACTTCCTGCTAGAGTTTTAAAGGATAATACTCACCTATTGTGTACAATATGTACTTTCTGAAAGTGTTTTAAAGGATAACACTTACCTATTGTGTATGATATGTACTTTCTGAAAGTGTTTCAATGAATAAAAGTTTCCTCTTTTTAAGTTCTCGAAACAATGGGCACCATGCTATTAAGGGAAGACCTTTTCAATTTTTTTATTTATTCTACTATTTGTAACCAAAATAAATCTTGTAATAACAGGCACCTCGAAATTCTGGATTAAGGGCAGTTATCTCTGTATGGTGTACCGCTAAATTCCAAATATCCTACCAGAAGAATGACCAAAATTCAAACACTTGTGATGTTTATTGGATCAGCTCCAAACCATATACTGTAATAAACGTTTTCACAGATTCAAAGTGCAATCTTATTACTCTGAGGAATTCTCGTTGTAAACACTAGGATACATAAACTGATATATTCCAGATCATGTTCTAAGAACAGTGTTCAAGTTGGCTTACTTCTGTGTGCGTGCTTTGTTGCTCTTGTGAGCATTTTATTACAGTGTCATGTAAACAGTCTAATGAAACAAGCAGTAATTTGTTGCTTTGTTTTCAGCAGGTTTTTCCTTCAGTCATTGACAATAAAATAAACACAGAAAAAAAAAAGTGAAATGTTTAGCAGTTCAAACTCTGAAGAGAAGTACTTTAAAACTTTATGACTAATAATAAAGAAAAAGGGTACAACTAATTCAATAATCAATATGGAATCCAGCTTTGCGTGGCTCATTTTTAATAATAAAGGCACCTTGCTATAGAGGGCATTGGGATGCAGTCAGAAGGGTACCCTTACTGTCGAGGTTCTTCTGTAATAATGAAAGGATTATAAATATATAGGGATAGAAGGATAACCTACCTCTATATCCACCTCTGTCATCCAATAGCAACAACAAAATTCTCATGTTTTCCATTTTGAAATAAAGTGTCTCTATGTAAAGAATGATTTGAGATAAACCTATGGCAGGTCAACAATTTTTTGACTGGAGACTGAAGTAAAAACCTGGAGAAACATGATAAACAATTTTGACTGCTACTTTCTGTCGGAGATCTAAAACTACCTGATCCAGAACTTGTGACTGGATCAAGAATAAGAGATATTAAGACCAGTTTGAAGGATCTGCTGAAATCAAGAATCCCAGAGCAAAGGGTTCTAAAGATGTAAAGATACTCTGGGATGAACCCTCCATGTGTGATATTTGTCCAGAACTGAAGAGTATCATTGATTCTGTCAATATACCCATCTCCTTTACTTCTATGTTAAGCCACTCCGTAGGATCAAAATGAACAAACAGAAGTAGCTGGCATCAACTAGGAAATAGATAAAGAAGAAATTACTACCAATAGTAAGTTGAGATGCTAAAACTCCAATCAACACCTAAATGGGAAAGAAGCTTTGGTAAAATTCCTGCAAAAACAAAACAATGTAGGAAAGAAGATCTATCAAGGTCAGCTAACTGCTGGGGAGAAGACAAGTACCCTGTAGTACAGTATGAGAGGCTAAAGTATCAAAAGAACATAAGACCCACAAGGTAATAAAACAACATCTGTCAGATCTACAGCAAAGGAGGACTGCAATCAAAGAAATATGATCGCGACTAAAGAAACTGGGAGAATGAGAAAAGCTAAAGCTAATCATTGATCTTCGGAAGAAAGATTCAAAATGAGACTAATCACAATGCACAGATAAAAAAAAACTGATGATGGGTTAAAATAGAAGACAAAGGAGAAATGGAATCTCCTTGCACATTAGAGGCAGACTGCATGGGTAAGGCTTCCAACAAAGTTGTAGAATATCCGATATTAGTAAAAAAAAGTGAACAACAGAGTTAACATTTTTACAACTGCTCTACAATGTGTCAGCAATGTTCAGAACCAAAAGTTACATGACTGTTGACAGCATGAGAGCAAACTCAAACAAGGAAAAGTGTTTCGTATTTCAGAGGTAAGTCTACCCGATTTGAACCAACCTTTTACTTATGATATGCACTTTCAGATAATGTTTTAACTCCTTTCCACATGGGCTAGGCTGATTTGACCGAGTTCTTAACCATTTTGTATTCCTTACAGCTTCCGTACTATAACTTTTAATACAATATGTGTATCTTCACAATACATTTCACACTTTTAGTAAACATCACAAGAGTTTTGTACACAAAAATTATTTTTTGAATTAAGTATTTTTAATAAAGATTTCTCTGTGAATATATTGAGTAGTTTTGTTTAATAGTCCAAATTCAAAGTGATCTTCATGTTAAGATTAAAAATACTTTTATTCATCTGAAAATTTTCAAATTTTATTTGTGTAATCTCTAAAATCTCCTTAAAATGTTATTTTTCAGTAAGACTATATTTCATCTGTTATTTATTTTACCCTTAACTATATATATATATATATTAGGTTGGTCAATTTGATAAACCTTGTAACAACCAAAAAAAAATCTAAATAGATCTAAATTACCCTTTTATTTATTTCTAGAATAACTTCAAATTGTAACATGAAACTACATTATCCTAAATAGCTTTAAACCCATTACAGCATACATCTGTTTATGCTTAAATTTTGTTTTATTGCCCTATGAGCTGTGTTTAGATTAATATTCCTGAGATAAAATTTGTAAATCAATTGGTAAATGTGGAACTCAAGTTACCCTTTTAAGTTACATAATGCATGAGCTACTTGCAAGAGTACCTTGTGCAAAGACTATTATTATTTATTTTATCTAATCTAACCTAAAGACCTCATAATTTTTACATTTTAGTTACTTTTATAATAATAAATAAAGAATACACATGAAAAACAAGAAATAAAGTACTTAACTGGGTCTTCTTATTTTTGCTGTCAACTATTGATGACACTTAACCTTACTTTTTTATACTAATGTTACTACTGCACTAAATAATTTTTTACTTAATTAAATGTGCACCAAAGAACACAGAATGATAAAGTAGACAATGTCCCATAACTATCACAATTTTTCTGACTTTCTAACTATGTGACAAAAGCCATTAAACAGAAAACTATTAACAATTTCTGAAAAAAAAAACGATGTGACAGGTGGGTGTGGTAAGTGGGGTCTGATTTTTATTTTATAGCAAGTAATTTACACTAAATTTTATATTTCTTGGATGGGTGATAAATAAATTGGAGAAGATGGGATACCTAGAGAGCAAATGTCACAATTCTCACACTACAAGAAATTGAGGATTTTTCTAAATATTGCCTAATAAAATTAAGAACTTAAAACTTGTATTATGTTAAGATTTGGGATATTAGCTATGTTTTTGTGCCTTGTTTATAAAGATAAGAAAGTAGTTTACTTAAAATTTTGAATGCAAATCACTAAAACCTCCTGACATACACACAAAATGATGCTTGTTCTGAAAGAGTTAAAGGAATATACTCATCTATAATGTACAATGTGTACTTCGTGGCACTTTTAAAGGATAAAACTCACTTTTTATTCACAACATATACAACCTGATATTGCTGTAAAGAACCATACACTTCTCTTACTTATATATATACCTTTTGGCAGTGTTTTACAGAATAAAACTCACCTTTTACCTAAAATATGTACTTACTGAAAGTGTTTTAATGGATAAAAATTACCTCTTTTGAAGTTATCTACTGCAATAAACCTGATCATTGGGTCATCAGGGAAGTATTTAGCTGCCCAAGGTAAATCATTCAGGAAGCCAGGACAATCATCATAGAACAAACCCAAGGCATAACGCGAAGAGAAAAAAATGTTCTTCAGCTTCTCTGTAATTTCAGGGCTCTGTGCTATAATGAAAGAATTATAAAAAAAAAAAAAATCTACAAAAAATATTTACATATTTTGTTCATCATCATTATCATGTGTAATCTCTGAACAATATTTATTCAATGTTGTTAATATGATATGAACAAGCAAACACAGGATGTCATAGACACTGCCATGTCCTAAATATCTTAAACCAATAAGTTAAGACTTTGACATAACAGGAATTGCTATAACCAAAACTGGAAATGTTAATTATCCAGAAATAATTTTGTGGAAACTTTTCAGCAATTTCTGCTTTATAATTTGGATTTCTTGTTGAATATTTAACAGATCAACACCAAAAAATATTACTAACATTAAATAATGTCAACATCAGACACCTATTTCATATTGGCAACTTCTTTATTAAGGAACTCTGCTTAACATAAAACTACAAATTATAGGCATAATTATAACAGTAAGATACATTTCATTTTATCCTAGATTGGTCTTTACTTTTTTATTGCACTTTTTGTTGCTTCTGAACAATTATAAAAAAATATTAAAATGGTTCATATTACTAATAGTTACTATCTACAAGTCACTAAATAACCACTGTTTCTTTCTCTTTACTATCAATTTCATTCACTTTCTCCATTAACTTCATTCACATAATCTTCCATCTTCACTAATTTCTCCTTCCATATTTTGAGTTGCTGTAGTTCTACTAATTCATGAACTCATTTCACTTTTCATTCTCAATCCACACTACTGCTCTTTCTCTACTTCATTTGTCAAAATTTTCATCTGTTTGGTCCATTATGAGGATGCTTTGATATTATTTTTTCAAATTGCAGAATGGCTTCCAATTACACCACAAGCAGTTGCAGTGGATGAAAAGTTCAACACCCTCCAGACCACATTTCATAATTTGTGCCTAGCTCTGTTTATTCAACCAAATACCACATAATAACTAATGAACCACCTCTGACAGCATTGGTTTGTCACTTGAATCTTTTGACAGCATGCAAGATTTGTTACAACAAGCTCACCACTCCACTCATTTGCTCTCATAAATTACTTCAACCAGTACAAGTTGGAAGGTAGGTGCCAACTTATAATTTTACCCTGGCTGTTCATAAAGGCTCCTTGGTTTTGACTGCATTTTCAAGGCACTTGGTAAAAAAAACTCCCCTTTCTCTTTTTCAACTTGAATATGCTTGAGAGCTTGAGGAATTTGTTTTTTAAGGTAAAATTTTACAATCTACTTGATTTATCCTGTATATTTGCTCATAATTCTGAGTTTATAAATGTCCACAGAAAGTGTCTTAAGGATGAGTTAGATATTTATTATAAGATAAGGAAATTTATTAGTGAGTACTATATAGTGAAAAAATGCTATAAAGTTGCAATAGTTTCAATTAAACACACTAGGTTTGATGCTAAGTCAACAGAAAACTAGAAACCCCCAACATATGAACAAAGAGTTAGGCCTAAATTAAAACATGAAGACATAAAATAAGCTACACCGAACTTCACTGAAGAGCATATATTACAAAAGTAACTCTGAAGTAACCTATTATGTGATCACAAACATTTCAAACTTTCTATCTTATTAGCCAATAACAGTGTCAAAATTAAATTGTAATACGAAACCACAATAAAACATATTTCAATACTATAACTTACAACTTACACCCCACAACAAATTATTTTTATCTGAGGAATCTTGAGGAACTTGTTTTTTGTAGTCTGTAAGTTAACAACTTACTCTATTTCAACCAGAATAATTATAAATTAATTTTGAGCTATTACATAAAATGCTAAGTATTATTTTTTACAAATTACGGTAGTTGAAAATTTTCCAACTTTTGTTTCCAAGTCAATACTCACCAAGAAGCTCTGGAACTGCACCTTTCAACTGAAACAGTTGAGGCACTGGCACTGTCATAACCACAGCTTCAAACTTCTCAGAAGCTCCTGATGATGTGGTCACCAGCCAGTGAGACTTCTCACTTCTCTGAATGCTTTCCACTTCATGCTCAAAGTGAACCTCAGCTCCTACAAACAAACAAAAAAGTGTTAAATAGCAAGCAAATTGTGCAATTTTACAAAAAATAAAATAAAAAAATTAAAGAATGTAAATATATATATATATATATACCAATGCTCAAAAACTACACTGCCAGATGTACCTAGGGCATTAATAAAATGTATATGCTTTATTATGCAAGTAAAAACTCAAATGCTTTAAAAACAAAAAGAAGAAATGTCTGTTGTAAAGAGATTAAACCAAACATATTTCATACTTACCTGTTACATGCACCTTGCAGTAATAAAATTTCCTTTTTATCAAACATCACTTACAGCACACACAAACTGTTGTTTACTGTTACTAGTTAATTGTTTGTAAGAATTTAACCAAAACCACAAGTGATAACCAGTACTTCTGAATGAACAAACCTACAATTACTGATTGCAGTGCACATTTATTCTATAGAATATTTGTAACAGTGTAGTAGTTAAATACTAGTTAGAAATAATTTTTTGTGTTAGCAACTAAGAACAGTTTGATGAAGTATAACGTTCAGTCTAATATGTACATGTTTGTGCTACATGCTCAACTAGGCATATAAGGATTTTTGAATTTTTACCTTTTATACCTAATTGTATCTGTCAGATATAAAATATTGTTTAGTGTAGGTAGTATTATTAATTTATTTATTTTGCGAGTTAATATTTTAAGATTAGTTTCTTTCATAATGAGAGAATTAAAAGCACACAATTATTGGAAGTTGTGTTTGTAAGTTATTGATGTTTAGGCTACAGAGATTTCTAGGATACCTCAGTGAGAGATATAAATAGTGGTGACCATATGCGACCCCAGAGAGTGGGAAGAGAGTCAAAGGTAAAGATGAAAGAGAGTTTCTGTCAGAGAAAGGTTAGAAGACATAAAGTTAACTGTTTTAGGAGTGAATAACCTAACAGTTGATGTGTTAAAGTGAGATTAACAGTTTTCTGACATTTTAGGAGAATAATTTGTCTTGTCAAAGGGTGTTCTAAAGCAATTAAACCTGCCTGTGTGGACGTTGACGAAAAGCAGATGATTATTTGGAAGTAGGCCTATACGCAAAAAGCAGACGAGTATTAGAAGTTAAGGATAGAACTGCAGTAATTCAACAACAGCATAAGTGAATTATACACTGATTCATTAACAATAGTTTTATCCTTTTTTTTTAAAGCCTAATTAGTGTCTAATTAATTACTTGCAAGATACTTTCTTCCCTGGAATAATTTTCCAAAAGCTTTTATAAATTCTTATTTATAGCTTATGAAGAAATTGTAAAAAATGTTCATAATGTTATTCAATATGTCAGCAAAAGTTATTAGCTTTTTTATTCCTAAAATAAACATTCTTTTTACAACAAAAACCTAAATCAATGAATGATACTGTCAAAAACATACTTTACTGAGTAGTATATATTAAAGTAAGTATATGGGTGTGTTGGGCTAAGGATTCTTTTACAGTAGGTGTCTGTGACTTGTTGGCAATAAATTAAACAATAAATGAACTGCCTGCACTCCACTTGTTTTAAAATAATATATTCCAAACAAGTTAAACATGTATACAAAAATTCTTTACACTCTGTATATCATAGTTGTATCTTAAATCATATACAGTTCTCTTCTTCTTGTCCAAAATCTGCTTTAGAATACAGTTGACAAGCCAAACTATTTTTATTTTAAACATTATTAGTGTATAATTCATTTATTCCTTTTTTTCTCTCTCTATTTTTTTTTACCACAACAGCAATGCTATAGTAAAATGAATCTGACAAACTTTGAAAACTTTTAGGTGGAGAAATGTCAATTCATCTTGGAATGTTTAATAACTTCATAAATCTGGTTAAGTTTGTTTGAAGTGGACATTCTGATATGATGGTAAAAGACCTTCTCTAGCAAGTGTAAAACATCATTTATGAACAAGTTCAAGCACACTAATAAGTCTTATTAAAGATAAAAATATATAAATCACACAGACGTACTCTGGAGAGTTAATGTTACACTTTTTAAAGATTTGATATTAAACACATGAAAGTAACTTTATATATACATGTGTAGTATAGTAACTGGAAATGAAGATCCACTCCAAGTACCATTGATATAGCTTATCACAACTTGAAATTCTCACTTTTTGAAGTGAAACTTTCACTGTTGTTGTCAAGTCAATTCACAGGAAAATACGCATAGAAGATCTGTGGAACATCTCTATTTCTTGTTAAATAAATACATATAGATTCATTAAGACTGAGTATTTCTTTTATCACTGTCACCATATATGTGATTATTTATACTATTGAGATAAGAGTACTTATGTTGAGGTAATCAGATATCAATCATTGTCATGGTTAGTAGCCTATACATTCATCTAATTACTAATTAGTTACTTTTTTTTATTATTATTACAAGATATTAATTACTAATGATATCCTATACTTCAGCTGCTAATCTGCTACAACCCCCAAGAAAGTTTTTAAAAAGAATGTATATGGTGGCAGGGTCTGAGATTTATTCCTGTCTTTCATTAGATGTGCTGATGTGCAACACGTATTCACTAGTCCATGGTTTCTCCCATTAGCAATGCTCATAACAGTAAATGGTGTAAAAGTTAGGAACTTTAGGAAGCAAAACTCCAGAATTAGGAACCAAATTAGCAATTTTGCAAGGGCCAAAGGAGCTGTACAAAAATCTTTGACAGAACTTTTTTTTAATCCCAAACTACAAGACAGGTAAAGCCACATATGAAGAATTTTTATTTATTACTACGTTAACTGAGTGAACTAGATGCAAATGATAAAGTATTTTACAGTATAATCTGAAATCAATAAGTAATTTTCTGAAATCATTCTTCCATTTCTGACTCTGGATGAAGTATGGCCAACAGAAAATGTACTGGAAACACCAACATTTAAAGAATTAAACCTCAAAAAAAACTGAAATTTAGAAACCTTTTTTTTAAATTAGGAACTTTATGGTCCAACTATGAGCCCTTCATTGGGAATTGAATCACCTATTTAAATAATTTCAAGAAAGGATATCCAGGTTCTGCAAACTTCTATGTCAGGTTGACTGGGTGTTTTATCAGTTAAGCGGATGAAGAAATTTGTTTTATATTTCTTTTTCTTTTGTATGGTTCTCATTTTATTAATTTAGTACTATTCCATTCTACTGTATGATTTCCTCTGAGGTTGTTTCAGATAGATTAGTATCACATAGATTTATATGTCTATTATGCTCACTAATTCTGTCTTTTGTTGGTCATTCTATTCCTACAATGTTAGGCAATTCACTTTCACAAGGAATTTTGTATATGGTGGTTTTTCCTGTCCACTGAGACTTCAGGTAGTTTGATGTATAATAACTATGATTGTATTATGTTGTGGTTTCTGAATACTGTTATTACATTATACTGTTTGCATATCTTCTGTGTGTTTTTAAGGAAACCTTTGACACATATATATGTCCATAATTTTCCTCCTGGTTACTTTTGGTATTTATCTTCTATTTATCATATTTTCTGGGCATCCATTGTCAAGGAGGATTGTATTGATGTTTTTTCTTTATTCTTACCATCTTCTGTATTATAAATGTCGTTCATTCTGAATACTAGGCAATCTAAGATACGATTTTCACACTGTACTGGTTACTTGATATATAGTCAAGTTACTTACCAGTATCTGTGGGTATCCTGTAAATGCTTGTGCCTTTATTATTTATTTATAGGTTATTTGCCTAAGTAACTGTCATGTCTGGGAGTCATTTCTTCTGTTTCCATTACAAATTATATCACTGATGTTACCTATTTAGGTAGTTCATGAAATCTAGAATATTGTATGTAATGTGTGGCCATAATATGAATGTATCATCATCACATCTGAGCAAAATCATGGGTCTAAGAGTGGTTGTTTTAAGGCATTATCCCAGAATTATTCCATGAACATACTAATTATTAGGCCTTTTTTGTTATTGATAGTTGGAAGTAAGATATATTGATAAGGGAAGCTGTGTGTTCTGTGGTCATGGGGAGTGTCTGTGAAGTGTATTCCTCGAGAGTTCTATCATTTTCAGTTTGTTGGTGGATTATTTATAGTAATGTTTATAAGACTTTTGAAAATGAAATGTGAAACATGTACAGTTTATGTGAGAAATCTGTCAGTCTCAAATAAAATTATTTTTTATTATGCAACCAAAAAAAAAAGTTGTTTTTAAATGTATTTTTTTGGAGTATCTATAGTGTTTGAAAGCTTTGTATGACAGAGAATAGGTTAGATGCACCAAAGATTGATCATTGTGTCTTGAAAGGTTATTATGATTGCATGGTTGCTTTTAAAATATATACAAAGTAAGTTTTAAGCATGTAAGGATGTTTTACAATTTAAAGGCAATATTATACAGTGACTGATTAAGTTATATTGAAATGATTTTGGAACCTTACCATGTCATAACAGTGAACGTCGCTGCATCCAGACATGCTCTATCTGATGACTTTGCATTTTAAAAATAGCCTTGTAGTGTAGGTCCCATTCTATAAGGATCCATCATAAGGTTATAATATACAGAGCACACTACTCCTTTCTGCAGCCTTCCATAATCCATCCAGAGTAGAAGGACAACAATCTCTCAGCACACATTTCAACAGTCCTATTGCATAGAAATCTATAGGTCCTTTGTCCAGCTACATGACCATTATGTTTTCATATGGAATAGCATGAATACTCATTTCATTCATCAGCTGCTTAAGACATACAATGATTAAACAGATATGTTGTGGAGAAAAATTATGTACACAACTTTTGTGTCACTTTTCCAGAAGGAGATCTTTCTTGATTACAATGCATAGTGTTGACTGGGCCATGTGGAAAGCTTATGTCAATGACATTTGTGTTTGCAGATTCTCACCCGTTACAAGTACTGCACTTTGCTTACCATGGCTGAGATACAACTTGTTGCTGATCTCTCTTTTTTTGGATTGTTCTGGTGTTCCAAGTTGATCTGTGTTCCTTTGTTTTCCAGTGCCATTCAGTGCAAGGGAAATCCCTGTCTTAGAAAATCTAAATCCCTGATCTGAAGACATCTTTATAGTCTGAGTGCACATATAATTTGCTTCAGAAAGGGATATTACATACCTTTCAAAAACTGTCAATTTTCAGTGGCATCACACTACCTATGAAACACCAAACAATTTAAAAATTTAGTTATTATACATGACGTTCTACCATCATGACTTTGTATTGGCTGTGGCTGTTATGTGACTTGTGGATTTGCATACTCAAAATAGTTTTAATATAAAATAATCAACATTCTATATGTCTGTTTATTTACATGATATCTAGCTAAGGGGGTGGCATGGTGATTTCTACAGTTAATTATGTTGTTGTGCGAAGGGAGTATTTCTATTTTTTACCATGAAAATCACCTTTCACTCAGTAAGAGAAATCTTTAGTAAAAATGCTTTAATACAAAAAAAAATCAGATTTTCTGTATACAACATAATTTTTTTTTCTAAAATCTTGCCAAATTTCACAAACATACTTGCTAAATTTAGACTTATAGTATATCTATCTATCTATCTATATATATAGACAGTTCACAAATGGTTTCTTTAACATGTTGAATAGGCAACTATTCTCTACAATCACCTAAATTCTCTTGCATTTTTCAATGCAAATAATTTTTTCAAAAATGATTTCCTTGAACTTAAAGTCCTGAATAACAATGATCCTGTTTCTATAAACAGCTGAACTCAACTGTCTAGAGATACTGCTATCAATAACCTGATCAGAATGTTTAAAACACTAACCAAAAGGCATTATTTGTTTTTTTTTCTTTTATTTTAACAGGAGCATTCATAGATAGTGGCCTTTATAAAATCATGTCTTTCCAAAGTATCCAGCTTATTTTAAATGAACTGAATTCACCTTCTCTTTGCTTTTATAATCCTTGTTAAAAACCCTTATAAACTCAAAGATTCACATTCTCACGGTCTTCATATAATCAACTCTCTATAATACCTTTTATGTCTAACAAAATGAAACAGATGCTGCAACTCCCATTTCCAACACTTTATTGCAGACTTCTACCTCTTCTTTAGACAAGATAATCCAGCAACTCTACTTTCAAACTTGTTCTGAAAGCTTCCAAATTTTAGCATACAGATCATAAGTGTTCCAAAATAACGTTTGCATAACTTTGACACAAATCTCTACTAATCACATTTCATCAATATGACTTAAGAAACTTTTCCATTCCTTCCTTGAAAAATAATTTGAGAAAAAGACTATGTTTTGTTTTTACTCTTAAACCATATAAATATCTGCACTTTACATCATAGGTAGAATTAAAATATATGAAAATTGACCCTTAAGCCTAATTCTTTTTACTACATAAATAGCACTAACATATATATAACTTAAAAAATCTTCCTGAGAACATACAACTTAGTTTATCATTTTAGAATCCGATTTTGACACTAGAAACAACTGAATACAGTATTAAGAATTAAACCCACCAGATTTATTTAAGTAATATTTGACCAAAGATCCACTTCCATTAGGAGTAACAAAATTAAGTGTCCCTGATGCTACTTTCTTCATGCCTTCAAACTTACTAATCATAGGTTGTAGTAGCTCACTTTCAATCAAGTCTTCATAAAACCTATTGAAAATACCATACAGAAAAGCTATTTCAATATTTTTATAAATGTATTAACATAATATTTTACGAGTATTTAATTTCTTCTTACAACTTAAGTAACATAAATCACAAACATATTTTTCATATTGAGTTTGTCCTTAGTCTGACTATTAACAAAGAATGTTTGATACAATTATTAAAAATTTTGATCATTCCAAATGATCATCTTTACTTGATCGACATTTATTACTATAAATGAAGATTTATTATCATTCGTGCTTCTAATTACATCAAATCTTCAGGTTAACACAATACTGAATAAAGTCATGAACAAATCATAAACAGATGAGTGAAATAACTTAGAGAAAAGATAACATTTTCCTTAACTGAAATTGTATTTCAGACAGATACTCACCTCTCTGCCCCATAAAGAGCTACTACCTCATACACAATGCCATATAATTTCCTGCATACTGCCACAAGCCTTGAACAAAGTCCCAACCTTACACATATCAATGTTTATTGCACCAACCTATGATGTAATTATCATTGACATATAGCACCTCTACTATAAGGAGGGTTACACATCCTCCATGAACAGTAATTCCCATGAGAAAACAGCATGAGCAAAGACTCATTCTTGATGAAGCAAACTAAATGCACCAGAAATTTGGAGGGAGGAAGCAGTGCAGAAAGGTGAGTATCTTTCTGAAATACATTTTCAGGTGAAGAAAAGTTAATTTCAGAAATGCTACTCACCACTCTATACCACAAAGAGATAGAACTCTACATTGAAGATGATGCAGGAACCAGTGAAGAGAAATTACAAACATGATTTTCTTTCTAAAAACAGCATCAGAAAGGGAAGCTCTATGAAGTGTGGCATCCACAAAGCAGAGGGTAGCCTAGTGAGGCAGCACTTGGTGGAGACTACATCCATCTCAAGCAGAAAATATACTTCACTCAATAGAGGTGGTAGTGCAAAAGATACTGTCATAAGAATCTTTTGCTGAGTACTAATGTATTTCTAAGGTGGGTGGCAGATTGCTCAACTGTACATTATCACACAGGCAGACAGCTGAGTACGACCGTGCAGTGTGGCTAGGACTGTTCCATATTAGAAAAATACTTCTGTGAGATACCACAATAATCAGATGCTGGGAGAAACATCCTAAGTCTGTGTTCCAAAGCAAACCCAAGACCTATCTGGCTGTAGCAAACCCATGGGAATGGCTTGGTTCATAACTTAGAGGGGTGTCCTGTATTACACTACTAAGTAACACCCCAGCCCTACTTTGCAAAGTTCAGTTTCTTATCACTGGGAATGCACCCTGATAAATAACTCTCCTTACTGCCTTCCCCAGCAATCTGTAACTGGAAAAACAATGGCTCTCCCTTACTCTACTTGAAGAAACAAGGAGGGAATAACATGCATGGGGAGTGGGAACACCAGAGAGGTGTTTGGACTATGTCTTTGGGCACAATCACCTGGACTTGTGTCCCATAATGAAAAATAGTGCAATGGGTTATCACAACTAAAGATGGCAGGTTTGAGGGCAGGCACACTTGGTACTATCATTTTTTTTATTTCACAAGTGCAGGATGGCCTGGAAGATAAAATATATAGAAACCACTGAAGCAGTCTTGCAGAAAATTTCATCTCAGCAGTAGGCATTAAGCAAGGTCAGATTGGCTTAATACTTTCCATACTCTTTTGCCCTATGTGGATTTTGGGTAAGTGTTTCCTGCAAGGCAACACTGGCCACTTGGTGGGTTCTACTGTTTCCATAATATATATATATATTAAAGAACCATTGTGAAGAGTGGAGAATGGTGACTGGAAGGAGATAAAAACCAGAGTAAGTGAAACTTCCCTATGGTGTGAGTAAAATGACACTAATGCAAGATCTCAAACAGGGGACATCAATGGCTAGAGGCAAGAGAGGCTGTGACATGACAAAGAACATGATGGGAAAAAATATTAAAATAAGAAAAACATAATCTTCAATAAAAAAAGAAACCAGCCATATGAGGTATATAACCCATTTGGGCAAAGTGTTTGTAAGTAAGTTACTACAGGAACAGGAATCCCATGGCAAGAAAAGACATTAGCAAGAGACCTCAAAAGGTGCAGTATGAGTGAAATTATAATACAGATTATACAGAACAGAAGAGATGATCCAAGTTAGAATGACTGTACAGGGAAGATAGGAGAGGGAGGATGTATGGAGAAAATATTGAATCATCCTCTCAAGCCACCCAGGAAAGAAGATGAACCTGTCAATGTGGTAAAAAGTGTGGGAAGAGACCAAGACAAAAATGAGAGACATATTTCTTAAATGAAAAATGGATGAAATGTATGAAGCATATAAAAGGAGGTTGAACCACACCTCACACAGAGCATCCTCAGCCAGAGGTACAGCTTGAGACTGGATACCAAGTGAGCGAAAGTGAGAAGCAAAGGGAAGGTGAAAAAAGAACTGATGTTAAGATGGTCACTAAAAACACAAGAGGATGAAAAAACACTCCATGGGTAGGGTCCGGTATTAAGCAAGATAGTTAATATGCCACCAGGGCCTGAGCTTTCAAGATAGAATAAACTTAAAAGAGAAAGTCTAGAGCCAGGAAATCAGAGTTCCCAGGAATAAGTGCCTCCCAGTCAGACCAGATGCTGGAAATGGATTAGGCACACAGAACTGCACACCACTAGAACAGAAGTACCTGTGCTATACTTATCATGGACAAGCAAAAGTAACCGCCTCCAGTGATGGGAAAAGATTAAGTTAATCTATCAACCTAAATTATTTCATGGGCTTTAAAAAGGTTAATTGTGTTGCACTCTTGGTTTCACTCAGAGAGAAAGCTCTGAGCTACTTATACCATCCACTGCAAAAAGTAATTGTTGAGCATTTCAATCACATTAAAAGCCACTAAACAATAGCATACAGTAAATCTACATCTGTATTCTTTAAGTTACATAACATTTTGAAATGTGAATGATAGTGTGATTAATGCCAAACAACTTAGTGTAGAATATCCTGGTTGTGAAATAAAATTTGACATCAACATTATTCATGCTTGTTCTCCTGTTATTTCAAAAGTGAAAGTTGAGCTTTGCCTATCTGCACAGCTTTTCAAGTAGGAGACAGACAAATGCTTGGACAGACACCACAGTTCACAATATATAAAATATATGGAATCTCAGATATGTAAGCAGAAGCCCATAGACTGACTTCAGAGTCTTGGTGAATTCCAAACAGATGGAAGTCTGGGTAAAGTGTGGGGGACATCCGAGGTTGTGTGTGTTCAAGCACACCACCATGACCATAAGAAGTGAAAAGAAAACAGTTTAGCTCTGGAGACACCTGCTTTTACAGGCCAGAAACCACTGAAGGGGACATATATGGGCACACCCAAGAAGAACAAAGGACTCAAGAGAGATTCCCTAAAAGAGACTCATGCAGGAAATGAAGGCAATATGATAATTCTGGTATCAAAAGTTCCATGTTACAAAGACAAAGAAGTACACTAAGTTTTTCACACATATAAAGTAAAAGACAGAGAGACCCCCCTCTCCCCAAGTAAATCAAGGGATTCAACCAGTGGACAAACTGAAAAACTGAGAGTAAACAGGATGTGCTCCACGGTAAAGAGTGGCCAGGGTGAGATATACCATATACAGCAAGTCAAAACCCAGGTACAGGGAACCGACATCCATGTGGGAATAGGATGAGGATCATACCATCAGCAAGTCAAATAAACTAAATTCCAAAACTCAGTCACTGAACCAAAATCCACATGGTGATAGGAAAGAGGATCATACATCTTCACCTCAAGTTCAGCAGAGCAGAGGGAGATATCATACCCACCAATCTGTGAACAGGGAACATGATAGCAAAGTGATAAAATGTTTTACCGATTCAGGAACCCGACATCCAGATGATTGGAGTAATAAATATGTCCCTGTATTGTATAATACTCCACTCAAAATCAATCAGACAGGAACCATCCCCAGTATAGGAAAATCTTCAAGGGATAGGACAACAAAAAGAATCGTTGCAAACTTGCACATTCAACCACCACGACTCACAACACTGTAGCAGTGAACATGAGTCCAACTACGTGAGGGAACAGAGACACCTGTAATACACATGTAAGGACTTATTTTGATTGGTCCAACTCTGAATCCAAAACACAGCCACTAAGAAAAGACATCCATGTGGGGGTAGGATGAGGGATCCCAATCAAAGGGGTGAACTGCAAAATTGATGGCTCACTTTATAGCTACAACATCCCCTCAAATAAACCCATTCAGAGATGGAGCATCAGATTGGAAGACATATCATATACACCAGAAGAATACCACTACCCTACTCTCAACTGAATGGATTCAGTATTGGTTTCATCATATATTTCAATCACATTCAGTAGGATACCTCCGCGGTCCACCACCCCAATAGCTTGGAACTGGAAAGTGGTAAGGACTCCCATACTCTATTGGAAGAAAAAGGGAAGAGAAATCATGGTGAAGAGTCTGGAGGAACATTAACACTGAAGACAGAGAAATGGGTGACCACAAAAACCCTATTTTGAAAGGCAGACCACACCTAATTTATTCAACCTGAGGAATGGCAGGAATGGGTAACTATCCTCTTCCTTAAAGACAAAAAGGGACATGCCCCTGAAAAGGTATATATACAAAAAGATAACTTACACAGTCACAGTCTCAATGAAGTCTGAAGAATGGTAACAGGTGAAGACGATAACCCAAAGAGAAAGAAACAGCTATCCAATGCAGATAGTGAGAGATAAAGGTATGCAGTGTAGTCCACATGCCCAACTGAGGAATTTCCTCGAATGGATGATGAAGATGAGATGCCAGGGAAAAGGTAAGGTGCCTAATCTGGAGAAAAGACACCTGGAACAAATTATAGGAAGAAGGAGACAAAGAAGAATAAGCCAACTGAATTAAAAGCTGAACCCAATTAGTAAGGGTGTAAAAAGAAAGGAACAAACAGAGAATATTTGCCATGGAATGAAGAGGCGGGAATGGACATCATGGAAGGAAGACATGTGAGCAATTAACAATGAAAAGTATGTATGGGACATAGTAGTCTATCCGGATCAGACCAGGAATATAGGTGGGAAATGGAAATCGGCAAGGAGGAGGAAGTACCCTCACGAGCTGCCAAAGTTTTGGAAAGGAAAGTTCAATCTAGATAAAGGGAACATATGTGGTATGATCCAGGGTATGTAAAACATCAACTGCATATAAATCTCACTAACAAGTCAAGAGAACAAGGAAATAAGTCTTAAGGGATTAGTAGAAAATCTAACACAAAGACAGAGGTTCAAATGGTGGTAAAGTGAGGCAGTGAAGAACCACACTGACATCCCAAACCAGAAGGACTGTGAGCCAAGGAGGTCAACTAATCTGGAAGGAATGCAACAACAGTGAGTGGGTAGGAGAGGTAAAAACTTTATGGTACAGGGAAAAACGAAAAGTGTGGATAAGGCAGCTCGATAACCCGTGATCAAGGAAACAGAAGCCCCTTGATCAAACAGCCAAGTGAGGAAATCCGTAAGAAGAGAAATGATGGTTAGAGCACGTGAAAACCCCGACCCAAAGACCAAATGCAGAAAATGTTCCACTGACGTTAATATACATTTATGGAGGAAGGGCGAATGGAACGTGCTAAAATGAAGTGACTCACCATGACAATCTGAATATCCTCACCAAGGACCAGATAAAAATCAGGCATGAAGATGGAGATTAGGAAAGGCTGGATGTAATGCCGGTGCCCAAGGTTAATGTAGAAGGGATGGAATAAGAGGAAGAAGTAATGGTGGGGCAGAATGGAGCTGGACCAGCCATGGAGACAGCAGTTGAGCAGGCTAGTAAGGAGCAATCAGAAGGACTTGACACAGAGTGGTGTGGATGACTGAAATCACCCTGAGAAGAAAATAGATGGGAGGATATACATAAGGGTATTTGTTGGTCCAATCCTGGCTGAACTCATCAATAAACAGTGCAAGTGGATGAAGAACTGGTGACCAAAACAGAGATAACTTGGTATTGAAGAATGTGGCAAACACATCCAGGTGAGAAGTACCCCACCAAAGGCACAGCTACTGGAAAACATGAGAATCAAGAGATCACTTTATTGGATAAATTTTGTCCAGTTGGAAAAGATGATCCGTGACTAGATTGAATGCACCTGGAACATAACACGCAAGGAGATGAATACAGAGCATGTGGTCCCAAAAAAGGAGATCCAAGGTTTGACCAAAAAGGGAACAAGAACGGGTGCCACCTGTTACGTATTAGAATTTTAAATGGTCTGAAATTGAGTTAAATGATACTTTAAATTTAGTAGTTAAATTGTACTTTGGATTTAGTAGTTAAATTAAAGCCAATATATATAGTCAATTTATGATATTTGCCAACAAGATTGATACACTCTGTTTTCTTTTTTTTTAACACAAATATGTTTTAATATACACACAACAGTACAATTTACAATAACAATTACTACAAATTGTTATTACAAACG